AACAAAAGCAGACACCTGCATCTTAAGAGGAAGGTTTAAAAAAACGGCATTATTTAGGAGTTCCTAAAAACACAACTAAGCAGGTGCTAAAACTTGGCTGAAGTTTCTAAAAAGTAGAACTTTTCTTTAAAACAGTGGAATGAACCAGAAATACATCAACTCAAAGAAGAAGTGGGAAATCATGTATTTGCTTTGGATCCACAAATACTTCTTTGTTTCCTTCTACATTAAACTGAGCTTAATGTTATTTTAGTTAGCCATGCTATCTTATTGCTGATTAAATGCAAAAATGTAATTAAGTTCCTTAGGTTATTGTGGTTGTTATTATAATTAGATAATGGGAAAAACCTGTATTACTTCTAGTAAAGTTTTCACTAAAATCTAGATTATGTAGAAAGTTGCATTTCCAACTTTAAATCAAAATTTCTTGTCATTTTTTAAATTGCAACTCTCAACTGTCTAGTCAATCTAATAGATAATAATCACTATGTTAAATAGTGTATTGGTGCAATTGCATCTTGAATGTTGTCTGTGATATCAAGGGATGTCTAACAGTAGAATAGAAAGAAGTATCCAAAATAATCAAGTATAGCTGAAGTAGTTCAAGTAGTTGTTATGTCTAGATTGGAATCCAGAATGGCAACATTTCTACAGCTTTCTTGCACTGAAAAACCTTGTGCTAGTTTACCTTCTAAAATTATTACATCATTGTAATCTGGAACCTAGGAAGGGGCAAGAAGAAATAAGCTGGAGACTCAAGATGTAACAAGGCAAGATGTAAGCTGTTCCAAATAAAGCTACCTTTTGCAATTGACTGGTGATTTTGTCAACACTAATGGTATTCAAATGGTGCTCCGGTGGTTTGGGGACTGCACCCAAGGTTATTAGTGCTATCTTTGCTTTCTTTTGCCACAGTTAAGTTCCAGCTGTGTATTGCCATCACAGTGTATTGTATTGTATGGCCCAGGCATTAATAGCTGTGATGCTGTTTACCATAATTCAGTTTTCTTACTCTTTGGATGTATTCTTTATTAAACACATTTTTAACTTGTTGATGTTTGATGTCATCCAACTGTAAAATGCCCAGATATTTGTAGGCTTCATCTTGATCGCTTCTGATGGTCTACTGCTATATTTGTGCTAAAATTTGTACAGTATTTGTCAGCGACTGGATTTCAATTTCTGGTTTTCCATAAAGCTTCAGATCATTAATATAAAACAAATGAGAGATTTTTTGGCATTTTTTTTTGCATTTTGATAGTTACTTTTTTTTTACTTTTAATGTGGAACATGGCAATGGCAAATAATAAGGGTGATAATGAGCCATCCTGCAAGATGCCTCTCCTAATTTGACAAGCCATATTTTTCTTTTCCAACCACCAATTCTTTTCCAATTCTGTCTTCCATTGATTCATTATTTTTTCTATACAATGTTTGAATCAACACCATGTGTTTCCAGTATTTGATAATCCAGCTATGGAATAAAGAATCAATTCCAAATGCCTCTTTATAATAAATTCTGACTATATGTAAATTGTTCTTTTGGCTTTTGTAATAACTATTCAAAAGTTGATCTTTTATACCTTTGCTTTTCCTTTAATTTCCTTTCTTTTTATTAGAAGGATGTTATTTTTTCCAAATAAATTTGGCTATTATTTTCTATTATGCTAATGAGTAATTTAAATAATAGCCAAGCATGTATTGGCCTAAAGTTTCTCTTTCACCAGTCTTTTTAGCCTGGAGTTGGAAGTCATTGATATCCTGTCTTTTCATCTCCCAACATAAACCAGTTTCTCTCAAATTAAGTATTATTTGTTGTCCATATATAAGTTTGTTGATACATGAGGACAAATTCTTTGGCTAGGGTTACCAAGAAACATAGAGTAAAGCCCCGCTGATCAGTCATGAGATGGCTTCACTGAACTGAAGGCATTGTCTAAGAAGAGTTACATATAGGTCTTGTTGGAAGGGGGAAAAAATCTGTGATCTCAGTTTGGTTTCCTTCCTCTAAAAAATACTACACCAATCTCTGGGTCTAATCATGGTTCACAATAGCTATCTCTTGTGAGGACTATTTTAGGTATTTAAATAATAACTATAGTAACAGCTCTCCTACTTATTATGTTCTCAAACATTCTTCCATCTTTCTGCAGTAAGTAGTCTGAGCTTTACTATGTCTGTATTGTAGCTGGGAGGACTAAATAAATGTAAAATAAAATGCATAGAATGTCATCTTTAGTTTATATTCTTTTATTGGCATACCATACATCTGCAGTAAACTTAGCTTATTGCAGTCAAAGCACAGCTGCTACTGATGCTGTGTGCTTCAAATAAAAAAAAGTTCCTACCCAATATTTATAGCATAACATTTAAAATTATCACATGGAGCTTACATATATGCAGCGTCTTGTGCCGCCATCTCACTTGGGTCTTTATTTTTAATTGTAATACTATTTTTGATTATTATTTAATAATAATCTCAATAAGGATAAGAAGATCCCTAAATAGGGATTGTCCTAAAATGTTGTGTCCCCATTTTCTCTTGCAAAATGTGTTTTCTGACACAGAGACAACTGTGCAGTGCATTTTTTTTTAAAAAAAAATCACTGTGGGACTCTTTCATTCCAGGAACAAGGGCCATTCTCTGTGATGCAAATTAACTGGATTCAGTTAACATGCAGATCTAACTACTGATTTATAGAATGGATTTCTTATTATTTAAATATCACTTTCTTCCTTATCCATTTCTATTCCAACATACCTGCAGCCTTCCATAAAAAATTAAGGTTGGGTTCATTTCTCCTTTTTTCCCCCATATAAGATCCTGTTTATTGATCCTGTCTTCTTTACATTGTCATAACTGGGAATTTGTCAAATGGTGAGCTGTTTTCTTATTTTAACACTGATTTTCTCTTTGTTGCTAGCATTAGAATGACCTTTTGCTGTTCTAATGCTTAATAATGTTGGCATTCCCAACTACAGTGGCCAGAATGGCAGCATTTCTCAGTGCCATGCATCCCTCCCACCATCCTTCTTGCTGTGCTATTTCTATAATGAACTTCAAGAAATTGCAGGCCAAAGCAATTGAAAAATGACAGAATAAAGTAAAAGGAAGGCATTGGATTGGCAGGAGGAACTAATGGAAACACAGAGAAGAAATTGATCTGAAGTAAGCAACCCTCAGCAAACATTTAGGTGATCTTGGTTGGTGGTGAAATTAGATTTAAATCCTGAAAGATAATGTTCTGCTGAACGCAGGCCAGACCATATTTATCTGGTCTGAAATGTGTAGTCATCAGAACAATAGAACCTACTTCTCCCTTGTCAACTATAAATAGATACCTTGAAGTTAAAACATTGATATTTAATAGCTGAGTTGTCTTGCCCTTATAGTTATGGATTTCCTCTTTTTCTTTCTCACCATTCACACAATGAAAATGGGCCATACAATCAAGAGAATTGGGATGACAATATGATGCTCCTGTATGGATGGGAATAAAATAACTTAGCCCTTTAAAACTATAGAATGTTACCTAGGTAACTATTTTACTGAACTGCAGGAAAGCTGTTGTGTAGACTAATGCTAATTAATTTGGGCAATTGTGCTCAATTTAAATATTATAAATTTAAACATGTTATAATCAATTACTTAATTTAAGGCTTAATTAGCTGAAAATCATTTAGCTGGCAGCTGGTATACTAATAACAACCAGCATCCCAAATGTATTGGATTAGGTTATAGTTTCTGTCATTCCCACACCATTTATTCCAATGAAACCCAGCAGTATCCGACTGGAAATTCTGATTTAGGCAAATAAGGAATGTAGACGCAACTGTCTAAGAATTCCTGGAGGTGAAGTCCCAGGAGATCTAGAGGGATTTAGTCAGGGAAGTGGTTAGCGATAACATAAAAGAGACAGAATGGGGAGGAGGGACTGTTCACTAACTATAGGAGTAGAGCAATGTTCTGAGATCCATTTAAACTGAAATGCTGCTAAGAGCCTGGCGTGTACAATAAGCTATTGTTGATAATATCTGAAGTTTCTTAATCCTCCAGGGTGATTTTGAGGATATGATATGGTAGGAATTCCAAGGCTTTAGCTCGTGCACTCATTCACTCACACACACACACACACAGAGAGAGAGAGAGAGAGAAAGAGAGAGAGAGAGAGAGAGAGAGAGATGTATCATCAAGCTGAGAAACTGGTCTGTTTGCTTCTTTTTTCAGCTCCTCTGCCTTGGAGCAAGATTATAAAGATATGAAAATGTAATAAGCATAAACCTTACCACTTCTACTGGAATAATTTGTATACCTTCTCAATCAAAACTCTTTCGATTTAGGGCTATTATGGTACAGACAAAAAAAGGAGTAATCACTAAATGCTCAGGAAGCAGTTCTAGGAGAGAGATTATGTGTCCCTCCCCCCCAGTTAGCCATGGCAGAAATAATACAACCCATTTATATTTGTAAGGAGATTTATGCCACACAGTTTGCTTGCTCGCAGCTGTCAGAAACCCCCTTTTGTCCATAAAAGCAAAGAAAGCTGTCCATGGATGTTGTGCCTGGAGCAAGCTGAGGGCTGCTTGTTAGGGAAGAGGCAGTGGAAGTTCTTTGGGCGTTGAAGTGAAAGTTCTTTCAGCGTTGAAAGTTCTTTGACCTTACCCTGTTCCCCCTGTCTCCAATTATCCCTGGTTATTGATTCCCTGGCAGGCCACCTTCCATTTTCATCCAGCAAGCTCCAGAGCTGGCCAGCTGCCACAGAATTGGTTGCCTTGGCTGCGTTTAGCTGCATAGGGAGTGTACTGTACAGAACAGAAACTCTCCGCTGACACAGCGTACTTCTGCAGTAAACAGCCCACATGCACTTAGCTGAGGGGGCTGGGCCTTCAGCCTACGTCACAAGTAGAGCACGGGGGTTTATCATTAACTCCTTTAAAGAGCAGCACAGCAGCTTGAACAAGCTTGAAGCTCTGGGCTAATTCGCAGGTAAGAATTAATAAGCCAGAAGAGAAAAAGTGTTTTTCTGGTAGTATGAAAATATTTTCCAACTCAGCAGGTCAATCAGATGTATACTTAGCAAAATCTACAGGATAGCCATTTATCAACACCCGGTAGGTTTCTATTCTTGCCTAGGTGAATGGAAAGGTTACATAAACACATTGTAAATTCTTCTCATTCCACCATCTTCGGGAGATAACAAGGTCAGGAAGAATTGAGGGGGAAAGGAAGCTGCTCTTTCCATGATTTTCATCAATCTATTCAGTTTTCCACCATTAACGTTCTGACAATTGCATTGAAGAAGTAGAAATTAAGCAAGTGCAAGTTGAGACATGACATTGTGCCCACTGGCATTGGGTAAAGTTTGTTTGTTGTCCTGCCACTATTAATAACATAAGGCACAAGAGGGAGGCATGGAAATAAAGGAAACCAAACATGTCTGGATGCAATTTTTCCTGGGCAGTGCATCTATGGTGTTTACATGTTTAGAAGGACTATGTGTTAGAGTTCTGCTGCTGGATTTGACAATTCATTAGTGAAGGCCTATTTTCATGGCTCCTCATTATTAAGAACAGTCAGAATATAGATATTTGGGAGGGGGAGAAGTGTCTGTGTGGAGGAGGTTTTTGTTACTCTTACAGGTCATAAATATTTGCAGGCAGAGATTTTGGCCTTCTTGTTGTTAATGTCAGTAAGTTCTCATGGACACTTTGAAGTGTTACAATCCTACTGAAGTTGTACTACATTTTTTTTTCCTATATGCTAATCTCTACTGTACTTTCATATGATTCCTGGTAAAATACCCAGCTTTCTTTCATTATTTACTGTTGTGCTTGCAACAGGATTTAGAGTTTTAAAAATATGTATGCTAGATATACTGTAGAAAGTTGGTTTGTAGCTACATAGCCAGTGATAGGCCCAGAATTAATTTTTCAGTTGTATATAAATATGCACACACTTTTATATATGTGTATACTTGTGTGGTAATCCTCAATTTACAACAGTTCATTTTGTGACCATTCAAAGTTACAACAGCACTGAAAAAAGTACAAGTTGCAGAATTCCTCTGATATAAGAAAGTTACAGCAAAACTATCACTTTGAATTGTAATGTAGACTTAATAGCTTTATATCTCTTTTTTCTAATCCTCAAATCACAGTTTTTTAAAAAATTCACATCCTTTCTTTTGTATCTCTACAAAAGAAAGTATTTTTTCTTATTTTATATTATGATTATTATTAGCAATCCAAATTAGTGTGTTTCTTTTATGAATTTTTATTTGTTTCTTGGCAAGTTATTACTAATAAATAACTTCTTTCTTTCTTTATTGATTAGCTATTCCAATTCCATTTTAAATTGCTTTTATCAATTTTTTGTAATAATTTATTTCTGGAACTTTGCACTTTGGTCTGGCCCAAAGGCTAATCAATAAAGAAAGAAAGAAGTACTAATAAATAAATTCAGAGACTGAATTATAGATATGTTATAAAATTCTGTTTTAAGGACTCTTGGTTGTTTCAATTAAACTCAAAAAAGTTACTCTCTCAACTAAGAACTGCATTTTGAAGAACTAGTTTGGCTTTAGAGATAACTTAATCATGACTTTCTGTAAAAATTGACCATAGTAATTTTAGACAAACCACTTCAGATAACCTCAAAGAAAAGAAGGCGAAGAATTATAGGGCAAGTGAATTCTTCTCTAGTAATCTGGCTCTAAGATGTAGCATTTTACACTTGTAACCTGGCTCCAATATGTAGCATTTTACACCGAAGAAATTGGCACTACTGCTTGTAGAATAACTATTATGTATCTTTGAGCTCTTCCAGAAACCACTCTAACTGATGAGTTCTATAACATCTGAAATTTCCAGATTAGATACAAGGACAGTCCTAAGAAGAAAATATCGTAATAGTCTAATCTTGGAGGTTGCATACTTCACTGGTGTGTGCTATGCCATAGTTCCAAAATCATTTTAAGGATGAATGTGGCATATCAGCCACAGCTAATCAAAAAATGATCCTGGACATTCTTTCAATTTGAAAAATGAAAAAGCGAACAAGCTTCAGATCCAGATGCATCCTCAGCTGTGTTTCAGCTTCTTGTAGGATAGCATAATTCCATTCAGAATTACTTTTCTGAAACTTTGATATTCTGCTAAGCACCCTAATCTTTCCTGGATTCAGACTCCTTTTTTAAATCTCTCTTTTAGCCCATTGCTGAATGCAGGCAAGCATTCAGAAAAGTTACTCTATTAACTGAAAATGTTACAGAAATCTGCTCTTACTACAATTATATCCTTGCACTCAGTGAATAGTTTCCCCAGATACTATCAGTAGAGTAGGCAATCTTTGATGAATCAAAGTCTGAAACTCCGTCTCCCAACTTTCAGGAATGCCACGTCTTAATAGCTGGCCATTAACACCCCAATTACCAACTATAAGTCACACACAGTCAAGTATCATATAAATACTACACATAGAACAGCCCAATGCATACATTTTTGACACTTCTGAGTTGCGGTGGTGCAGTGGTTAGAATGCAGTACTGCAGGCTACTTCTGCAGGCTACTTCTGCTGACTGCCTGTAATTTGGCTGTTCAAAACTCACCAGCTTAAGGTTGACTCAGCCTTCCATCCTTCCGAGGTCAGTAAAATGAGGACCCAGATTGTTGGGGGCAATATGCTGACTCTATAAACTGCTTAGAGAGGGCCGTAAAAGCATTGTGAAGTGATCTATATGAGTCTGACAGCCTGGAAGAATAAACCTCTGGTCCAGGCGACTGAGTTTGGATCCTGCAACATTATCCCAGGACACATGTATTTGCCTTCATTTGCAATCCCACTAAAAGCCATGATCATAACAAAAGTAGGAAAAATTACACCAGCCAGCACAAACAAGCATGGGACACAAAGCCTACAAAGTTAGCTAAGACCCCCACCCCCTGGGAGTCTGACAGTCAATGGGATATATTTCTTACACAGGAACAGGAAGCACTAAGGTGAGGCCCAACAGAGGGTATAAGACTAGGGCACTTTCAGCATCTTGCCCCTTTTATTTTTCTTCACCCAACATCTGGAAGCATCTGATCGCCTTTTTCCTTCACCCAGCCTGTCCACCATTAAACTTTTTTTTCCAAGCAACCTCCATGTTTCCAGTGTCTTTTTCCCCACTTGGAACTGAACCCAGAAGGATAATTTTTCCAACACTTTAACAAAGCATGGCCATATAGGGACCAGTATACAGTTATACTGAGCTCACAAGAGCTCTAATAATTGCTTTATTGTGGGTTCAGTTTGGGATGGAGGACATGTCCTCTTTTTTGCTCCCATGTCCTCCACCCAGAAGGCATAGCCTTAAAAATCAAATATTGTCTGGCTTTTTGAGTATCTAACTGAGCCCTTTTTCTGTGCAGTGCTTTCCTAATACAATATTTCTCAACTTCAGCAACTTTAAGATGTGTGGACCTCAACTTTCAGACTTTTCCAGCATCTGGCTGGGGAATTCTGGAAGCTGAAGTCCACACACCTTAAAAGTTGCTGAGGTTGAGAAACAGTGTCCTAACAGCAACAGTGCTAACAGCAAGTTAACAATTGGCAAGACATTAATCAATTATACCCTGAAGTCTTTTGCCTCCTAACTGCTCTCCACAGCAAGCATTGTAGGCAAACAGCTGGTGCTAGCACATACCTCCCAATTTCTTGGTGTGTGTTTACTGACTTCTGATCCTTTCCTCTCCAATAAATGTATATACAAATATTAAAAAGTTAGCATATCCTGTTCAGATATCTGGAAAGGAACGACAGACATGTTGGTACAGATTTCCCCCTTGAAGTATCCTATGTGTTGCTTCAAAGATGCACAGGTAATATGTCACTAACATAAACAACCCTATCTTATACTACCATGTTTCTCCAACAATACGCCCCCCCCCCATAGGAAGACCCAGCATGTTTTCTAGGCATAAAATGAAATTAAGCCCCTCCCCCCAAATTTAGGCCTAGTTTAAAACATGCGAAATTGTGGGGGGAAGGGGGGGGAACTTGCCATTAGGAGTGCCCCGCGGGCAGCTACGCCTCACCATCAGCCGCTCCTAACAGCCAATCATGGAGCACAGAGGGCTCCCTTACCCCTCCCTTACCTGGGTCAGCAGGCGGGTGGCTTCGGTGTGGATGTCTGGCAGCGTTTCAGCCGCTTCTCAGGCCTTCGTAGCTTCCACGGTTCCCACCGGTGCTGGCGCCTCTCTCGCCAGTGCCGTCTCCAACAACAGTGTCTGAGTTGCTCCCTCTTTTCCCCCGTCCCCGTAACAACAGGAAAATAAAACATTTTGAGGTACCTGGGAACGCCACGTGCTGCGTTTTGGTTTAATCCCAAGCGGCTGGTGGGCGTGAGAAGAGCCGAGTGAGCATCTCTGCTGCTCCTACCCTTGGTGCTCCAGCCTCAGACTCTGCAAGTTCGCAAAAGTCCCAGTGCACAGCCCGTTCCTGCATTCCAAGCGCCCAGGCCGAGCTGCAGCTGTCCCTCTCTCACCAGCGCTGTCTCCAATAACAGCGGCAGCAGCAGCGGCAGGAACCGTGGAAGTTAAGGAGGCGGCTCCCCCACCTGAGAAGCGGCTTCCCACCGCTGCTGCTGTTATTGGAGACGGCGCTGGTAAGAGAGGGACAGCTGCAGCTCGGCCTGGGCACTTGGAATGAAGGAACGGGCTGCGCACCGGGACTTTTGCTAATTTGCAGAGCCTGAGGCTGGAGCACCAAGGGTAGCAGGAGCAGAGATACTCGCTCGGCTCTTCTCACGCCCACGCCCACTTGGGATTAAACCAAAACACAGCACGTGGCGCTCCCAGGTACCTCAAAATGTTTTTTCCCCCTGTTGTTACGGGGATAGGGGAAAAGCGGGAGCAACTCAGATGCTGTTGTTGGAGACGGCGCTGGTGCGCGGGGGGGGGGGGGGGGAAATTAATTCACCCCCCAAAAGACGTCCTAGCCATTTTTTCGGGGCTCAAAAATAAATAAGGCCAGGCCTTATTTTGTGAGAAACACAGTAATTTCCTGCAGTCGAGATAGTTTCATATAAGCCTGTTTACTTATAGAGTTTTTTCCCCATAATTCCTCTTAA